TAAAGTTGTATTCATATTTCTTTTGACATTTTTGGGGTTCATAAAAAACAAACTTAATATGTATGTATATACTTTTAGAAATGAAAGTTCCCAAAAAATCCCGAAAAGTTCCGGAAAAATAACCAAAGATCTCGAAAAATAAAGAGCGCCAAGTCCTGAAAAAAGCTAAAAAAAAGTAGAAACCCGAAAGCCCGGAAAAAATCCTGCTTGTTCCCAAACAAATCGCAAGAAAATTCCCAAATTATAAGCAGAAAATAACAATTACAAAGTATCACTTTTCAGCTGCTTACTTATTTTGATAAATTTGTCAAGGCACCCACCGAAATTATTTATTCTTATACTATATAGTGCTTAGCATAATATATTATACGACAATCACATATTGACAAGATTTGACTATTTTATTATCTTTTAATTTTAATTATTTTTTACATACGTAAGTATAGTTTATTCTTTAATAAAAACCGTATAAAGCCAAGTTACATTAAAAAACAATAAGCCTTCAAAAAATTCGAACTGTTTAATTCGATTTCTTATATATAATTATTTTGGGTAAGCCCATTAAATTTTAGTATAATAAAGTGCAAGCTTGAAATAACTGGGATCCGCCGTTGATTTTTGCCAATATTTTTTCTTAACGATGTCAGTAATTTTCTTCCATAAGTCCCAGCCAGTTTAAACTTGTAAATAATATTTTATTTAATGAAATTTTTATTCTAAAAGCCTTTTACCACTTTAGCCACCCCGATCGCAGTGCCATCTACTGAGTCCTGTGAACTTAAACCATGTAGGCACATATTTCCATTCCCGAAAGCTCATCGGGAGTACCAAATGCCACCTAGCATTCCCAGGTCTTCGTCTAGCGCTCGCTGAGCTGACTAAACCTCCCCTGTTCGGAAGTAATTCCTCGAGGGTTCTCTGTCTTGCCAGCTCATCGGCCATGCAGTTACCAGCGATTTTGCTGTGACCTGGAACCCAAATAAGCTTAATGGCGAAGTAATCAGATGCGGTCGATAACGAAGTCAAACACTCCTTCGCCGTTCTCGAACACACCGTCAGGGAGCTAAGATTCGTGATAGCTGCTTGGCTGTCGGAATAAATATTCACCTCCTTAAAATGTATTACCAATCCGAAGCCTCTTTTATCGCGGCCACCTCAGACTGGAAGACGCTGCAGTCATCCGGTAGCCTAAATTTTAGGTTTATGGAGAGTTTTTCGAAGACACCTTTACCCACCTTCCCATTCAGCTTCGGTCCATCTGTAAATAAGTTTACAGGACCCCGATTTCAGATACCCCTCTCAATAATACAAGGCCACTGTATCCCTCTTGACTCTTTCCTCTACGTTAGGCTTCCAGGAAAGCTTACTGTCAAGGATCAAACCCAAGTACTTCACCCTGTCAGAGAGCCTTAGAGGAAGACCGCCCATTGAGGGAAGACGGCAATTCGGTATCTTATAATAACACATTGGAGCTTACACATACGCTACAGTTTGGCCGAGCTTGTCCTCTGATTTGTGGTGTGAATCTTGGTGCTATCACACAAAGGGGAGGCACTTACAGTTTTACGTCTACTGTTTTTCATTGCAGAAATACACTCGGAGGTTTACCATTGCCTGCCGAGGGCGACCACTATTAGAAAAAAACCTTTTTCGTTTTTTATTTTTTGATGTTGGGTTGAACAGGGCTTGAACCTAGGCCCTGAGTAGTGGTAGCGCGCACTGCTAACCACTAGACCACAGCAACCTGAATCTTATACCTCCTAGTAAAAAGAACAAGCTCACTTACGCGATAATTCAATAACAGTACTTAAAAATTCGCTTAACGGATTTAGAAATTTTTCGATTTTCATATTTATTTGATTATTTTGAACTTATTTAAGATATCCAAATCATAAGGTTTTGGTGACTCAAAATTTGCGCTTTGCGGGAGGCCTCATTTCTGCAAGTCCATAATAAATTTTAATGCCATTCATTAAACTTTTTCTTTGCTCCTCCTGACTATCAACGGCAATTACTGAGTAATCATTGAATTGCATTAAAATCGTTTACCCACGCAAACGCTGATGAATATGATAATGATGGGTGAGTGAGTGGGCAAGGAAAAGTAGGTGAATGTGAGCAGGAGGAGATGGAGAATGCACTCGTTCAATTCACTGAGTCTATTATACAATAAATTGCTGGGCAATTTCGCAACAACAGCCTAGATAAGTGCATACTACAAACATACATATGTACATACATACATACATGTGTATATAATTTGAGAATGGCACAATAATTGCAATTAAAAATTCACCATATTCAGTCATAAATAAGCGAGCAAAATAAAAATAGCACGCGTGCGTGTGTGACTGCAAAACCGTCCGAGCGAAAAAACAAACAAAGGAAATTAACACAGATTTATTTTAAATTCCAAAAATTAAAAATAAAAGTAGTTGAACACAACAAAACAGACAAACATTTATAACAAGTGCACGTAAAAAAAACTGTAGATTAAATTGTGGTTTTGTAATTGATTTAAAAATTTAAACGCAATCAAGCTAATTAATTAAAACAAGCAGCAATAGTGACTACTGCCTACGTAAGCTGCAAGAACGGCAGCAGCAGCAGCAGCAGCAAAGGGCCAACTGTGAATTGAGCAGCCACAGCAGCAAGCCAACTATATAAATACATCCCTACATACATAATTAATTGGAGCATCCGCAAAAAGTAATTTGTTTGAAATGCCGTTCTATTCGCAAGACTGGCGTTCGCCCGGTGAAGCTTGGGTCAAGACCGATGAGGGCTGGGTATGCAAGAAGGTGCTCGAATGCGGCAAACGAAGGAGGTGAGTTTAAGCTATTCGACTTTAAACCGCTTTGAATAAAATAAAATTTTACACTCTTGAAAATCAATAGGAGTAATTTCTGAGTCTTGCACGGGGCACGCAATGCACGGTTTGCAAAGCTGTCCCATACGAAAACCGGTTTTTACCGTGCAACCTGTGCACCGTGCAAGAGCTCTGCAAGACTCAGAGAATACCCCTAATATACTCGCGAAACTAGAGGCCAAATATTGTATAACTGCGTTTTTCAAAAATATGATTAATAAAAAAAATTATTTAAAAAATTTAGTGCAATGTAGAATAACAATATGGGTATCAAATGAAAAAGAAAATTTTGTAGAATTGAAAAATACGCAGTTTTTTTGCGCATAAGGGCGAAAGGTGTCCTTTTAAAATTGTATCCTTGAAAATTGTCAATACTTATTTTTGACAAAATATATCGCCACTAGACACGAATAAAGGCGCGAGCTCAAAAGTTGACCGCGAAAAAAGGCGAATAAAAAACTGCAGCGAAGAAATGCTCTTAACATAGCTGACGGCGAAGAAAGACGTGTTAAAATATTTGATCACGAAGAAGGAGGCGTAAACTATGTTTGCGAGTGTAACAGTATGTAAATTCCTCAAAGAGATTTGTGGAATGATGCTGAAGTGATAGTGTTTGGCCAAATATAAATCTATGATTACGCCTCTTTCTTCGCGTTCAACTAGGTTACTCGCAGTGTTGCCACAGACAAATTTTATTTCCTACCAAAACCAACCAATACCTTCCAAAAATTTGTTTAGCCCTTTCGTTGTGTTCAGCCCCTATTGTTGTCTCCCAAGAAGTTCAAAAGAGTTTTACAGTTGTCCACAAGCCTTGATGCCGTTTTAAAGGAGTCTAAGGGCCGGTTACTCAATGTCTGGTTAACATATGGCCAACAGTTTTTCAGACCAAGGTGATAGAGTTCTCGATCTGTGCCAAAGTAAACATTGAAAATGTGCCAAACGGTAATCTGTGCTTTATCTAAAAGCATGATCAGTTTCATGGCTTACAATCATGCAGAGGTGGTAATAGATGATTACCATTGGCCACAGTGCCTATCCACCATTTCTTGATAATTTTGTTATTCAGCGGGCTTAAACAGAGTGGAAGTCCAAATTTTTTACACGAACTCTTAATACTACAATACATTTCCAAGGAGCTATTAGTTAATGTACTTTACTAGCTTTTTTAAGTCATAAAGTCAATTAAAATGATTAATTGACCTTTCATTACTTTCGTCAATCTCATCAGTCCTAAGTGTGTGGAAGGTAGGAAGAGACAATTATAAACTTTTGCAATGCACGTCGCAGTGAAGTGCAATTAGGAAAGAAAGTTTTTGTGATAAACGGAAATAGGTGAAGCGCAACAACAAAAAACCACATCAAGCAAGTGATGGCACGATAAAAAAATAAGTTATAGGGCACGTGCAACGGCAAATTGATCACAAAATGACAACTGCTCAGTAGTTGTAAACTCAGAATGCAGCACTTAAAGTGCAGAAACGAAATTTATGAGGGCAACTGTTTGCTTAAATGTGCAACACAATTATTTGCAACAACTTAAGCAGCTGTTTTATGGTTGTTAAGTGCTGAAATTTAATTTTCTGGCAGCTACCAAAACTTGAGAGCAATTTTTTTTTTTTGTTTTGTTTTTTTATTGGTGGTCTATTTATTTCATAATTTGCAAGTTTACATCCATAAATAAATAAATGACAATACATTTTATTGGTACAATTAGTATTCATGAGTCATGTTCACACCTTTCACCTTGATAACAGCGAGCGGCTAATAACACCAATTAGACTTTCTGTGAGCTGATATTACCATTTCTCTTTGCTCTGATTGATAACCGTGAGAAAGAAGGCGAATGGAAATCAGAACTCGTAAATATTTATTTAAATGTGTTGGCACTGCTTCTTATTAGCCGTCTTCGATTCGCCAACACTTACGAGTGGCGAAACAGTTGTAGAAAAATGAGCGATAAAAAAACAAACTTCACAGTCGCTTATTGAACGAGAAATCGACATTCACAATACCATGGACAAGCGATAATCGTTTAAGAGTCGTTTATCTACTACTAGTCCACACTCGCATTAGGGGTGTCAATTTGTGTCAGATTAAAAGGGTTTAAAAGGCGCCTTTCTAGCTATCTTTTCAAACAGCCTTGCGGCCATAAGGACCCAGTCCTCTGTAGGCTTATCAACGAGTGCTTTGAAACCCTCCAACTCTCCAAGGAACACGGTATTACTATGCTGTGCACCAGGACACTACGGAATCAAAGGTAACGAGGTCGCCGACGAGTTGGATACGGAAGGCTTGTCGTCTGTACTTGTGGGACCATAACCATTTTCTGGACTCGGTTAGTCCTCCTTCATACTCATAATCGTGGCGTTGGTAAACTCACAACGCAGTTTACTGGGGAGATCTAGGGTGCCTTGGAAAGGCCAGACTTTTTAGTTACCCGTTTGCTAGGAAAGATATAAATCTTTTGAATAGAGCTAACATCGGATTGGCCTGTGCACATAGAAGACGTCGGACCATTGGCCAGACTAATATTTAGATATTTCAGTTCTTCCACGGTCGCTGCCCTTAAGGCCAGAAATTCGTCTACCAAGAGGCTTTTAGCTTTTATTAGGCAGGCTGATAACATCTTGGGCGGTCAGGTTTACGAACCATCATAGGGATACAAAAGTTCTTCTAGTTCGCGGTATTTTTTGCTCTAATGCAACTATTAAATTTGCATTACATAGCATGGATGAGCTCAAGCGAGCAGAGAAGTGGCGAATTGAATGCGGCTATTATTGTCGATCGATAAATTGTTATATTCAAGTGACGTCGTAGAAAGTTCTACATAGAATAGCAATAGTTTAAATAATGATAAACCAAACGAGCAACTGATATAGTGTAAAGCTTACCGCAGACATGCCAATACCTGCGCAGCTGGCATTTCTCTACAAATATCTCTTTTATATAGAAACTGGTTGGTTGCATCTTTTCAGGTCTCATTTAGTGAATAAGTACATAGTGCTACAAAAAATGATAAAGCAGAAATACCTAGGAAGTTATGTATATTTTCTGGTAGATATTTTCGAGTAAAACAAGAATCTAAATATGAAATTTGCCAAACACCCCCAAAATCTTGATTTGCCGTTAAAAACCGGGTTTTTAGTACTTTTGCCCACTTATAAGCCTGTAACTTAGTTGATTATGAACTGGGTGGGAGTTTATTGCCGCCTTTTAAAAGAAGAAACTTAGGCCTTTCGAATGGTATATATGCAGTAGTCGGTTCAGACCGGGATGAACGCGATGCTTCTACAATTACGGAGTGCTTATAGTAGGAAAAAAACTTGAAACTCCCTAGCATAGCTGTGGTGTGCGCTGATTTAGGTATAAGGCAAGAATTTTTAATCAAAGGTATTTGTAACACTTAAGAAAGCAGACTGGATATTTAACGAAAGATACCGCGGATGCTAAATCTGAGTCTACAGCGATAGCAAAGTTGCTCCAAAGGCTTTGAAAATCACTCGTACGTCCTTAAAAATTCTCAAGGAAGCTAAGACTGAAATCCCTTGCCAACGTGCAATACTGCCACCTGTAAAACAACGAAGTGTTTCATGAAATTGCCGTAACGTGCAAGTATAGTAGACCTAAGTTTTTCCGGCTTGTTACTAGTCCAATTCAATAAAGTTATATAAATTGGCCCGAGCCTAAGAAACTTTGTTATTTGGCGTTGACCCGGTACTAAATATGTATAAGCGAAGGTTCTTCGACAGAAAATAACGAACAAGTGAAGTAATGGGAAAGCAACGGACGCAGGGTAAAAAAAAACTATTTTGTTTTTACTATTTTTTATAACACTTTGCTCTTCCAAAGGTTGGCCCATCATAGGATACATAAATACATAGACTCAACTCAATAGGTCTGTTCGTAGACTTCACTCGTAATAGGGAATTTACATGAGGCGATTTTTCAGGCGATTTTTAGTTGAATGCAACAATCGCCTGGTGTAAACGGCCTTTCAACTAATCGCTTCCAATGAAGTTGGTCGGCTGCCTACTTTCGTTCAACTTTTGGTTCAACTAATCGCCTGTGAAAGTTGAATCATGTAAATTTCCTATAAGTGTATAACAGTGCGGTGCATAACAACATCTGACATTTAGCGCAAGAAAAGACATGCGTTCAGTGCAAGAAAAGCCTCACCGACCGTTTTTTCCTATCCTAGGGTACTCCAGTGCACTCAACGATCAGACCTATTATCTTCATCTTTTTCTTGTAAGAAAGTCGAATAGATAGATAAAGTTTATTGGTCGTAATGATTTCCAATTAGATATTCAAACTCAATTTGACTTTCCTTGAATTGTATATCTTGCAGTGTACATTTTTACGCATTCACAATTACTATGCAATTTTGCAAAAGTGGTTTTGTTTTCATATATATTATTTTAGTTTGCAAAACATTAATGCTTCTAAAGCTTTGGTCTCTGTATATAACTATGTATGTACATATGTACATTTATATGTACGTAAGTAAACTGAAGACAGTTTTAATTTTTTTCTTTCGTTAAAAAAAAAAAATTACTTCAGGCTTCTTGCACAATTTAATCAACATAAATCACTAAGAAATTACTATGTACAACATCAGCTGCTGAGTCACACTTGTTGGCGTTTACGATGGGAGCGTCGCATTTGTACATGTAGTATTTTGCATGCCAGCGGTGTTTACCTAGTGCATCATTGGTTTACGTCAAAATGCTGTTGTCTGCCCACATTTAGTGCATCAGCTGTTTGCCGTTCAACTGTTAAAGGGCGTTCACCAGGTGCAATGCATAGATATTGGTTATTTGCTGAAAGAGTGCTATTGTCAGAGGACTTTTTTTACGTTGTGGTTATACTTCTTGAATGTTTTCCATGTGGTATTCCATAAGATAAATTTTATGTGAAGTGAAGCGGATTCAAGATTTTAATCGATGTGAGGTTTATGG